ATGTTTGCTGAAGAATAATTTAATGGTACGGCATTATTATAGCGCTCTCAGTTTGGTTGATAGAGCTTATCAACTGCTTACGTGAGTCGATAATGTCACCCTCTTCGCAGTGAGTGCTCCAAGCAGGACGCGCTAGGATTAAATTCTTATGCCCACAAGCTGTCTGACGCACGAGCGACACTTGACAGTCTGATAATTCTTCCGATTAGGCCTCGCTGTGTATCCCCACAGATCTATTTACATATTTTAGTTCCATACCGTGCAGAGCACGCAATCGGATAAATACGTGAATTGATAGCGTGGACTGTTAGCTTTATGTTAAGAAAAACTTAGGCTTATCATGATAGATAGTATATTAAGATATTAAATATTACTCAATCAGACTTAGTCGTAATATATGTTACTTTCCACAGTAGCTGCAAAGGAGATGCCTATCGTATGAGTTGTTCTCCAAAATCTGACCGGTGAGCTGTTTTCGTTATATGAAGCAATAAACAGCATGTGAGGAGGATTCATTGATGAGCTGTATCCTCCTTTTCCTTAAATGTTTATGATATCATTGTCATTTTACAGGTTGCGGGGGAAAATGAAAATCTACACTAAACGTTGATGTGATTTATTGTGTTTGAGGTTTTAAGGATAGTTTGCAGGAAGATCTATCGTCCTTGGATTACTAGGCGTCGAAGTCGACGGTTGTGATGATGGTGATGCTGGCCGAAACTGCGACTCAAACAGTTTTGTGGTCAAGAGCTAAAAGCTGATGGTATGGTTGTGTTTTGGGCAGAGGTGACCTTGGCAGATGAAAGATCGCTGGAATGCATTGTAAAAACAGATGTAATTTGGTCGGGTTCGCAAGCATGCCAGGCTGACTACCTCTCTTGGTGCTTACTGCGAGGTAGCAGAGAACCGAGTAACCATTTTTGTAGAGGACATCACTATTGCAATACGTTTTCAGGAGCGGGGACGTTGAAGCGCCACCTAGAAACCGGTCAATGTGTATTGCTCACGACGGCCGAAACAATATTATAGTCTGAGTACTAAGTCACGCAACTCGATCAGGACATCGCCTTTGTGTAAAGCAGAATTTGTATTTTTTGAAAATTTCCATCCACGGCGACTTGCTGGCAAGCCTCGGTAAAATGTTTGGTTGATTCTCAATTAGCTGGTCCTCTTTACTGAAGTACCGTAGGAGCGGCTCTGCGACGAATACGCATTTTATTTGGGAGGTTCTCGCTGAGACTCCTGGAAAGAGCATACCAACCTCTCATCCGTGTGTTAGCTAGCGTGACCTTCCCGAGCCAAGCCTTCTCAGTGCAAGGTGAACGGCAACCCGGTGGATAGCACAAAAATGCACTATCGTCAAGACTATAACTTTTTTAGTTATCGACCATCGCGCGCAGCATATTCGCGTAGGGGTTTGTTGCTAAGGGGCACGTACAGATCAATGGCGTACGTATTCATCACACTTCCATACAGCTATACAAAGACACAATTGTACAATTACACGAGGTTCCCGTTTCACGATTGTGTGATTATGGATATACAAAGTATCGGTATTTACAATGATGATAGGACTCCGACGAGAAGAGGCCCGTTATACAAGTGGGCTATTAGCCTTAGGTCAAGTGATTGAGATGACATTATTATATATAGTAATATTTAGGATTTGTTTGGATAGGCTAAAATCAATCTGTATCTTACTCTTGAAGTAGACAGCCAATCTTAGTCTCTTATCAGCTCAAAGACTCCTGGTCCCGCTCCTGGTTGTAGCTTACGAATTCAACCTTTTTCAGTTTTGAAAGTGTTCTATCTGAGTCAAAGCTACATCTGTGCAAAGAGCACGGCGGGCTCAGTACTTTTGATAGTATTTGGAGTTAATCCCACTGCCGAGTCATGACAAGACTATAACTTTTGTGAGTAAGTTATCTTTGAAGCTTTAATCTACCTAATGTGCATGTAATGAATATAAGCAACGTACAGGAGGGTGGCCATGTCAGTAATCAGTATCAAGTTGCATCGGTGACGGGTCAAGGCTACCAGTCTAACAGCATAGAGCATCATACGATGGCGAGACGTAATCGGGGTTATTTGTCCGAATGACACAGGATGTGCTTTCAAAAAGCGAAGGATTGCTGTATCGAACCAGCAAGGTATTACTCGTAGAGAAGATACGAAAGGTCTATCCAGCCGAATGCTCTATTTTGCGAGTGAATTTTGTCAGCGAAGTCAATACTGGGCGCTGAAAACTGCTTTATGGGTTTATAAAATACGAGTTGACACCTTGGACTGGATGTGCATAAAATAATATGCTTCTTTGTTGAGTTATGGTCGGGGCTGTGTTCCACCAACTGCTTAAGACCTATGTTGCGATGGCTCCAGATATTGCGAAATGATTTTGATTTGCGCACGTAAGTGCGTGTGGTATTGCAATATTTAAAAGAAAACCAGCGTACAACGCGGACTCATATTTTCTGAAAAGATCGAATTTCAGTAGGATAAAAAAATCTGTACATCTTTCAGAATTATAATTACGGAAGACTACAAGAGATTGCAGTCGTAAAGTAGTTGATAATGCCGTTTTCAGCGCTGCCAGCTTAAACGTCTTTATCCTTGAAGCAAGTTTTTCATGTATGATCGAACGTTCTTCCTGATTATGCCACCGAGCTCATAGCGATTGATTTCAATGTGGTGAATGAGCGCTTAGCGATATACCAGAATCTCCGTATTGCCTAGTAAGCGTCACTTGATAGAAGTTTGCTAATATCACCGAATTCTGATAAAGTTATTCCTCTTTGAGCTCAACGAAGGCAGAAGGTCATGGTGTCACTTGGAACGAGTCTCATGGCAATCTTAGAACACGTGCTTGGCGTCTGACGTCTAAGAATTCACGTATGCAGGTGATTGGCATGTTGTCCTCCGTTTTTCAGTTAACCTCGTATCGAACTACAAGTGTTGTATTGCAGACCAGTCTTATCATCTGAACAAAATTGACAAATGGAATGATCCCAAGCATATTTCGCAGATCATATACTTAGGGTTGGCGTAACGCCGGTCAAACTAAATTATCGTGACGGTAATTTTGGAGTGCTTGCGTAATTTTTTTGTCTTCGACAGTGGAATTAACATAATCACGATTTTCTATCCCATCAACAAGTAGTCGTCGAGACTTCATGCATGACAAGCGGCTTCAATTTTGACCGGTCGTGAAGCTTTGAAGTATAAGTCTTTTGTAGTTAAGTTGAGCCGACGTGTGGTCGTTTACTTAGCAAGTCATTTGATTTGACCCAATAAAGTCATCCCATCCATAGCATTTGAAGTATACCCGACGTAGTAAAGTTTCTTCAAGTTCACAGAGTGTCAATTACTAATTCCATAGGCTTTTTTACGCTTACGCCGCTCGATACTGTTGAGGAACGATGTTGCAACCTTATGTTAGTTTTTTATGCATACGCTGAGTTTTTGTTTGTACAAAAACAAACTCAGATTGGCCTTGTGATTAAGGTCTGGTGGTTCCACATCTGTATGGTTGAGGGTATCATTTCCTCAAAAGGCAAAATTGAGTTACGCGATGTTTTGAGTTCTCTGTGGGGTGCCTAGTTAGTACCTACGACCCCTCGCACTTTATAATAGTTTACAGACCACATCGTACATTATTGCGAGTAAATTAGTATAGGTTTTACAATGTCATGACGAGAAACACATAGAGACGTGATATATTTTTTCACTTTGAATCTCATCATCAGATCAACGCTTGATTAGCCGTAATGAAGCCTTGCTTCACGACTGTACCCAAGCGCACCAAAGTCCTTCTTGTGAGTGGTCACTACTCCCTTGGAGAGTTTAATAATATGCGGATGTCTGTGGCGAGGAAGGGTAGTTTGGGGCATGTCATTGCTGTCATAATGAGAGCAATATCATAGAGACGTGGCTTCTGAATAACGCCAAGGCATTGTATATCATTGCGCAAGGCGTTGAGGTTCATCGTCAGACCAAGATGCGATCGGCCACAAGTATTATAAGGGAACAGGGAATCTTACACGCTTTTAACCATTTTTTGGCACTGCATAATCGCGTGATGATGACACGGGGAACCTACAAGTTCAAAATGAAAAGTGATAAAGCATTTGGCTTCCTGTGAAAAGCTATTTGATAGACTACAAACAATGGAATGGCCAGTTGACGAGTTGCGCCAATTGGAGAAACTTCTTAGCAATCCGACGTCAAAATATGATTTCAATTCATCGATTGTGAGAAATACGAACGGCATTACATGACTTCAAGTCAAGGTGAATCGGCACAGAAAAAACGTTTTGCCGATATCCTACCATGTGTATGGAAATGCGAAATATTGAAAGGTGGATGAGGCAACTTCGACGAGGTGGCGTTTCGCGCAATAATGGCAGATTAATGAGCAAGTGTCTGAATTGTGACCAGGTTGGTCACATGAGGCGGAACAACGTTGCCGTGCAAGTCTGCCGTGATAACATAGTATTTGCAGTAAGGAGAGAGCGATCAGCAGGGAGGATTATCGACAGTGGCGCCACATCCCACATGCCCCGCCTAAAAAGGACTTGCTAGAATACAGGGTCCTTACGACAAGCATCGAAGTATCAATTGCAGATCGCAAAAATTACTCATCAGACGAACCGGCATCGGAAATTTGACCGGTTGGTAAGGAGAAAAATTTGCATGACTGATATTTATTGTATCTCAGAACTTGATAGAATAGGCAATAGTTTTAACGGATTTTTACGAATAGAAGACCTTCTACTATTACAAGCACCCATCGAATTTTCGACAGAAATAAAAGACCGCTTCGATTAAAAGATCTTTTCAAATAAAAGGTCGCTGTAAACACCTTG